AAGATCCATGAAAAAACGCCCTCTATTTTCCCAGAACTGGCAAACTTGTTCATGAACTTGTTTTGAGGCCATCTGATTTGTGTTACCCCTGTGTTGTGAGCAGCCAATGACAATGCGACCCAGACACGCGGCATTTCGCACGAATGTCGAGCGCAGTTCGAACTTTATTTCTCGTAGGGATCAAGCAGGTAACTTTAATCATTGTAGTTAGCTTGAACTACTTCATTCCGACCCGATAGCCTTCGAAAAGACATTGTTGTGTGAATCCCTGTTTGCCCTTTGTAAAAGAGACTAAGTTTAATTTCTGTAATCATTTGCTGCATATGCTTGCATCAAACTGCACATTAATGAATTGTTCACGTATTCGTGAGTGTATGTGCAGTAAACTATATAGACTGACCAGCTAAACAGAGACCTTATTTTCGTGCCTGAAACCAAGTCTTACACCAATGCCGAATCCGCTGCTTTATCATGACGCCTCTTAGTAAGTTAGGCCACATGATCGTAGCCGTCTGATTTAAACGAGGCAGAGAACGTAATTACTATTTGGGCCGAAATTAATATACACTTTTTCTGTATTCTGGATGACGTTGAGTTATAGGTCGGCCTTGAAATACTGATGAATACCTCATAAACTTCAGCTTCTTTATTCAGTTGTCCATAAAGGCTAATCCCCTATTAAAAGTTTATCTGACATGGCAAGGGGGGGACAAAAACAACAAATATCAGGCGTCCCCCTGCGCATTTTTTTTCGGTGGGGGAGCACGAGGGGACGACCGCGGATCTGCCCCGTCATAGCCCCTTCACAGCCCGTCATAGCCCCCTCGTGAGGCGGGGCTGTGAGGTGGCACAAGGGGGCTGGCGCGGGCAGGGAAATATCTTCTTTATGAAGTGCCCTTTACAAACTGTCCGACGCTAACTCTGACCATGCGTAAACTCCCTAGTCAGGAAACTACCAGCATGTGAGTTTCGTTTACGTCATTTATAAGATTTTTGAGAGGATCTAGTACCTCTAAAACGAGTCGTTTTCAGCCTATGATAAATTCCTAAATTGCGATGTAGTCAGTATTTTTTAAAAAAGGGAACAGAACTGCACACGTGCTCACCTATGCAGCTGGCTTATACGAGGCTCTGACGGTAGGTTATTAAACCTTTACTAAGCGCTGACATTGGAATGACACTGCAGTCTGTGTCTACAAATGCTTGAAGGTAGTTCCGAACGATTATTGATAATACAAACACGATTTACTGAACAGGCAAGATCTTTCCAACCACAAAGGCCTAGTCCTCTTCAATGTGAGTATGGACTCATAGTAGGGACGCAAACCCCCCATTTATTGTTAGGAGGCGGTGCTGAGCATGTACTAGCATTCGGTCATGAGTACTTTTTCGCTTACTGACTGAGCAGCATATTTTTCCCGTTGTAAATACTGCTGAGCCCAGGCAGTTAAGACAATGGCTAAATTTCCTCTAGAGCACAAACAGCTCTTCCATATTCTCATGTAACCTGGTACTGATTTCTTGCCGAAACATAGGGAAGGTGTGGATCCACGTCACTGAATTTTAGTTAATATCATCGTGCAGCGACACTTCAACTCGGTGGAGCAATTCGCTGACGGAATTCTGAATGACACCGTCCTTCCCCTTCATAATGAGTTAATGGCTGCAAAATCCTTACGCCCCATGCGTCGATGCTTCCGCCACATCCCTTGCCGCACTTCGGCCTATCGGAATTCCATACTGCCATTTCTAGCCCGGTATCTCACCTGCAAAGATGTTGAAAAACAAAAACTTAAACTCGATCTTGCACCTTAAAGTCCTTTTTTCTCCATATATGATTATGTCCACCTGTCCAATACCTGTTAACCTCTATGGTAATCACTGTGTACTGGAGAACCGTTTTTGCTGAAAGTTTTGAAAGTTATTTTCAAAATAAAGCATTCCTCTCTCTCTCTCTCTCTCTAATCCACTGGAAGAACAAAAAAGAATTATCATGACAGGACAGGTTGTCCCATGTGGTTTTGGAAGCACTGTTTAATGAGGAAGAGTTCGTTTTGTGCGTTGACATCAACTGCAAACGTTTGTTAAAGTCGTGTATAGATAGCCGTCGTTGTCTATTTTAAAGTTCAGCGAATATTAAAGTTGTTGAGAAATCGACAATCGGAATAACCCCCCTCGCCAATATTGATGACGATTACTCTAGTTCCTACCCTTTTGCGTTGCGTGAAGCTACCTCAACGTCAGTATTTAGTGCCGCGTGTTGTGTTTCTTATAGGAAGAACCTGCTGCCGCGGAAAAACATGACAAGGGGACACGCAACGTAATCCCACCAGTCTGTGTGACGTGATTGTATTGGTTTTAGGTTACTGGGTTAGTGCGGCCAAGACTACACGTAAGGTCTAATTGAACCTACATGAGGTTGAATTTGCTGATAGCGTCAGTGTCGACGATTCCTGACCCGGCGGGATTCTGAATCCAGTGAAAGTGACGGGGCCAGTAGTGGTGATGAATGGCATCCACCCTCATCTCCTTCAGCATCTTCACGTCAATCATCTAGAACCAGAAATATACGATGTACGACTTCGTCAGTAGTGCCCACAGAAGAATTGAGTTCAGTGACATCTTCTTGCCTTTCCGACGCAGCATCTAATGAAGGAGCGCATTTGGAGACAAGGCCTTTAGGTTTTGTCATTTACCTTCTTACGCTACAAAATTTCGATAGAGATACTGCGTCCTAAAGATGAAGCAGAAGAACCTTCCGTCGAGGAACCTCTGAGGGAACCGGTAGATTTCCGTCGTTTGTGTGAGTGTTGTCTATTTTTCTACCTTTCCTACATTGCGTTTGTTTCTTTTCTCTCCCCATACCCTCGCCGCCTAGCAATGCAGTGAAATTAAAAAATCTGCATAACATAAAGGGGGTCTCTTTATTTGCTAACTTGTAGAACAAAATGATTGCTAAACTACTTCATATTTGAGTCTTTGAAAAGGCGGGCAGCTTTGGTAGTACGGTGAACAATTCCAGCCGAAGGGGGATGTGCTCGAAAGGATCCGCAGGACTTGAAAATATTGAAGTGCGCAGTTCAAGTGCGAGGGGTCAACTCTTTAGTTTGGAGCGTATCTCTGGAAAATTTGAAGCCTTGTTTCCCCGATAGGATTTTTTTCTGTGGAAATTCAAATCTTTATCTTTGTTATGCAGCGGCAGGTTGCAGTTGATAAGCCGTCGCGAAATTTGTTGGTTCCAAACAATTCTGCTGTGCATGTCTGTTTAAATATCTCTTTGGGAATTTTGGAAATTGCGTCTTGATTACCATATCCATTAAATGTTCGTAGCAGTCGATAGGCGGATCTGAAGAGAAGCCCTTCTCTCTATTTCGTTATAGGTTGTCAGGTTGCCCATAGCTAGTCTGCAGGAAGTTAGTTTGTGTGAAATTGTAATTGAGTAAACTACTGTCGGATACTCATATAGTGGCGATCCACCCGAAT